CTCCTCCTCCCTACTTCTGACGAACAGCCTTCAGATCAACAACGTGTGGCAGGTCACTGATTCCCTTCTGATCAGGTAAGATCAGTTATGTTAAAAATGAGTTTTTCAAAGGGTAGGGCGGAGAGAGATCTGAAGGATTAAGCCTGATGTGGGTGATTGAACTCAAATACAAATTTTGTCATTTTCCCATAACTATGGGGAGTGAGCCAAATGGAAGACAACAACCATCCATGGTACTTTACTAGAGTTTATGGATTTCCATAAGAACAACAAGAGGAAGACGTGGCAGCTTGTTCAAAACATTCATCAAGAGCTTGGAGACCGCTTGTTCTCCTTTGGTGATTTCAACAATGTGGTCCAAGATAGAGACAAAATTGGTGGAAATTACAGATCATCAACCCAACTCTCTTGAAATAGGAAAGCCTTATAGATTTGCGTCCTTCAGGACATGGGTTTTAAAGGGTACCCCTTCACTTGTTATATTGGAAGAGAGGGTTTAGACAACATTCAATGCATAATTGACAAAGGTTTTTCAACTTTATCCTTTAAGGAAAGATTTCCTCTCACCAAGGTAGTCCACCTACCTCAATATGGATCTGATCATGCAGCCTTGTGCATTCTGATTGGGAAGGAGTATCATAGAGAGATGAGAGTGCATTTGTTCAGGTTTGAATAAGTTTGGTCCAAGGATCCTAGATGCGAGAATTTGGTCAAACAACTTTGGAGCAAGCCTTCAGTGCATCTCACCCAAAGAATTAAGTATGTTCAAAATCTCCAACACACTTTCAAAGATTTAAGGACGGGGAATGTGACTAGAGAGATCAAAAGGATTGAAAGTCTCATTCAAAAGGATATTAGGTGGTCTGCTGAGCCTAAAGAGATAAAAAACAATTCAAAGCCTTAGAGCAACGGAGAAATAAATTACTAAGAATTGAGGAGACTATGTGAAAACAAAGAAGCAGAACAATTTAGCTTAAAGACGGAGACTGTAGTACGAGGTTCTTTTATAGCAAATCAGATCAGAAGAGGAAGACAGATGCAATTAAAAAGTTGAAGGATGTGAGAGGTAAATGGTGGAGAGGTTAGGCTAATTGTGAGTGAGTTCTCATTGACCACTTCTCATGTATCTTCTCTTCCTCCAATCCCTCTAATATCCATCGAGTTTGTAGCAACATTAGGCGCAGGTTGTTTGAAGAACATAAGAACCCAAGCTACCCCCAGGATTTTAGACCCATTAGCCACTGTAACATTGTCATGAAGGCAGACACGAAATCAATTTTCAACAGACTGAAAGAAATCCTTCCAGATATCATTAGTGAGGAGCAAAGCGCGTTCGTTAAAGGCATATTAATCACTGACAATTCCCTAATTGTTATGGAATGTTTTCACTGGATGAAAAACAAGAGGACGTGAAAAAAGATGCCATGGCATTGAAGTTGAACATGTCAAAATCCTATGATAGAATCGAACGGAAGTTTTTCACATGTGCTCTTGAAGTTGTTGGTTTCCCCTCCTCTCTGGTCCATTTGATCAATAGGTGTATCTTCTTTGTCTCCTATCAGTTACTCATAAATGGCTAGTCCAATAGAAGTTTTTATTCTAAAAAAAGGCCTCTGTCATGGGGACCGCATTTCTCCTTACTTGGTTATTGTATGTGTTGATGCTCTTTCAGGTATGCTTAAAAAGGAGGAGCTCTCCAAGGCCATTCATGGTGTGTTAGTTTCTAGGAAAGTGCCTATCATCTTCCATCTCTTATTTGAAAATGATAGTGTTTTTTGCTCACGCAAATGCTACTGGAGCTGACTACATTCTGTAAATCCTCTGAAAGTACCAACAAGCTTCTGGACAGGTGGTGAACATTGAAAAGCATAAAGTTTGTTTCTGTGACAACGTGTGTGAAGACACCAAAGACTTGATTCGTAATAGGTTGGGATTCATAGCAGTAATTAGACATTCAAAGTGTCTGGGCCTCCTAGTGGTTTTTGGTGGGTCTAAGAAAGATGTTTTCTCCCTAGTTATCGACAGAGTTTGGAAGGAAGTGATAGGTTGGAAGGAAGGTTTTCTATCTAAAAGGATAATTGGGTTCCAACAATCATGTGATTTAAACCTCTAAGGTCTAATAGATCTCTGGGTCTTGATGCCAAGGTCTGCAACTTAATTGACAGAGATTTTGGAAAGTGGAACATGGAAGCTCTCAAGGATATTTTCGATTGCAGCGAGGTAGAGCATATAGCCAACATGCCCCTCTCTACCAGGTTACCAGATGATAATTTGATTTGGCACTTCGAAAATGATGGTGAATATTCAGTCAAAGCAACCTACCATTTGCTTGGTGAACTCGATAGAAGCAGTAGACCAGGTCCGTCAACAAGTATTAATTCTATAGTTTGGAAGAATATGTGGAAAGTTCAACTCTATGAGCAAGTTAAGAGCTTCACTTGGAGGCTATCAAAAAACATCCTCTAAACTAAGTGCAATCTCAACAAGAAAGGAATCAGGTAAGATGTTTCATGTCCTTTCTGTCTTCTCTCCCATGAAAACGCGTTTCATCTCATTTTGCATTGTAATTTCTCCAAGAGATTCTTCTTCTCTCCCCCTGTGGGCATGTGTTTTCCATCTTGTTCATGTGTGTTTGAATGGTTCACTGAATCTCTCAAGAGTATAATACTTATTTAGACTTGTAGAACAAGTCTGTACCGGGTTGTGAAAATTTTGGCAAGTTAGGAATAGAATGGTGTTCAAGCAAGAGGTGTTAGACCCTCGGGCTGTTGCTCGGGATATATGTGACTCTATTCTGAAATTCAATAGGGTCAATAAAATAGATTTTCATAAGGAGATTGCGCTGCAGAATGTGGTTCCTATTAGTGGTTCCTGGACAATTCAATCTCATGCATGGTGTCTCAGCGATAGAACAGTGTCCTTGGGTTGTGTCGTTAAAAATTCTAATGTTGACATCTCTCTTGCCTATTTTAATTGGTTCACTAGTTGTGCAGATGCTAGTACGATCAAAGTTCTCGCCATCAGATGGGCTATTCAGCTGGCCAAGGAGTTAAAGTTAGACAATGTTATTTTTCAATTGCATGTTCTGGCTATGGTTGATTATATTAATGGAAATTGTTTTTCTGTTGCTTTGGATTCAATAGTGAATGATTGTAAGATTCTCCTAAGAGAATTCAAATCTGTGTCTCTTATGTATTTGAATAGACTTTGTAATATATAAGCGCACCACGTGATAGGAGTAAGCAAGTATGTAGGATCTAGAACTTGGTTTGGCCACATTCCTTTGTTGGAAGATAACACTATTTTTATGGCTCCTTTAGTCCATTTTTAACCAATTGATGTTTGTGTTAAAAAAAATGAGTTTTTCAACTCCATGGAATGGATAAATTTCAAAATGCCTCACTCTTAAACACTAAACATTAATTCTGATTGCATGAGTTTTCAATGAGGTGTGTTCTACATCAAGAAGGCTTTTTATCTTCATTCTTAATGTTGATTGCATTTGAATTGTTGAACTCAATTCTAAATGTGTAGTTTAGAAGAAAAAAAAGGGGTATACGTGGGGGAGATAAGTTGAGTTTAGGATTTATTTTATTTTAAGTTTTTTAAATGACACACCTAGCTAATAGGAAAAAAAAATCTTAATCCTACATCCATTCTATAAAAGCTTATCTCATACTTATGAGATTGTCTTCGATTTAAAGGTGAGTTATCACCTTAAAATTAATATCAGTAAATCTTTGCAGACTAAAACAACAATATTTTGTAATGGTAAATTGAGTGCAATGTTTAAATATTTTAGATTTTTTATTGGTGACATTCCTAAAAGACTAACTTCCAGACACCCAATTATTTAAAAATAAGAGTCTTATCTTAATGGAAGAGTCATATCATATTTTTAAAATATCATCTTTTTCTCTTAAAAGTGGTCATTTAAAAATAAGAGTCTTATCTTAATGGAAGAGTCATATCATATTTTTAAAAAATCATATTTTCTCTTAAAAGTGGCCTTATCTGCTCTACTAGTTTACCAACTTTTTTTTTTAAGCAATCGCAATAAAATTGAGAAAACTCATAAAATTCATTGGAATAATTGAGAGAAGGTTTTTTTCTTAAAGAGAAGAGTGGATTAAGGGGTTTGTAATTTAAATACATTTAATGTTGTTTTGTTGGAGAAGTGGTGTTGGAGAATGAGGGATGAAAATGGGAGTTTATGTCTTAAAAGTTAATATGTGGTGGAAATGGAGTTATGCAAAGGAGATGAGTAGCCTAGACTCATCTTCATGAAAAGATTTGTGTTGGAGTATAGAAAGGTGGTGGTAGTGTTATGGTTAGCTGGTTTTCTGATCGTTTGTCTTAAGTGGTTGGAAATGGTCTCAAAGATTTCTTTGTTTGTATGAAGAGTACATAATTATCAGTTGCCAACTAGAGATAATACTAAAGCGACAACAACAATTGGGTGTGCACCAGCACAAACTTTTTTCGATTGCTAAAATCACTTTAGCATGTTCGCAATACAGTTAAATGCGGAGGTTGTTGGACTTACCTATTAGAGATACTTTGTTGAGAGACAGAACAATATTACAGAAGATCATTGCTTTAAATGTATATTTTTGCTTTCTACGTGAAGAGTCAGTTAGTTATGATTGGCTTAGTATATCCAATATTTATATTGCTTTGTCTATCTTGTCATGCAAAGTATTAGCGATAGCATCACTTGGGCAAATCGGGAAATTATAGTACATAAACACAATTAAGGAACAAGGAGTCACAATAAAATATTAGTACGAAAGAAACACAAGACTAGGATAAATTCTAGACTAAACAGGGTATGTAGAAAGAAAAAGTACCATCTTTAAGGAATGGATTTAATAAAAACAAACAACTTGAGGAAAAAGGTTTCCCTCGACTTTTTAATACTAGTGTTCTTACCCTTCCGAGGACTGAGGAATTCTCTTTCACTTCCATGGATCTTTGTCTTGCTGCTACTCTATTGCCGTCTATTCTTCAGAAGCTTCAAAGACGTTGGCTGGCAGGGCTGCAGGATCAAGTTCAAAACATCCTCTGGGAACACCTTCCCTTTCATCACCGGTCATCTTGTATGAAGGAATTTGATGTGAGAATCTATATATCTCCTTTGGTAGAATACAGAATGTTTTCTCTCCATTCTTTCCAGACTTCTCAAAGAGACTCGTAAAGCCTTTCACTTTGCCTAGGAGAGATACTTCAATGCCAACATTTTCAGAAAAATCGGATTCAATTTCCACATAAGCAATTTCACGCTTAAGAAAATTTTCTGGGTTAGAACTCCAATTGATATCCCAATTACTGAAAACTGCCCAAGTTTCTCCCTTTTTGGGATACACTAGGAAAGATTTTTTGCCATTTCCTTTTATACACTGAATTTGATGAGAGAACATACCAAGGTCTGTAGTTTTCTGAGAGTTAGCAAGTTTGAATTTACCACAAGCAATAGGCAAATCTGCATTGTACCAATCAACCTCTTCATCCTCATCTGGGTCAGCTTCCAACCATATAATATGCAGATTGAAAGGGGAGGCTACTTTCTTGACAAGAGCATAAAATCTTGGCATAGCATCAGAGGTATCATAAATTGCCCATAATTGATTAACAGCAAAAGAATCCTCAGCCTTGTTCTTATCAAAATCATTGAATTCTGTTTCAGGGCAATAAATTATCTCTGGGCTAGAAGGAATATCTGAATTCAATGGAGAGAAGTTTTGCTCTTTGAACCTTCTAGGATCATGATCTGACTCCAATACCTTGTCTCCTTGAACATGAGAAGGCTCATCTTTGCTAGTATTCCTTAAAATTGTTTCTTCAGACACATTCTTTTCCTCAACTTCATCATTGTTAAATGACTCATTTTTACGAGGCTTTTTGGAAGTAACATCATAACTTTCATCTTCACGGTTTTCCACATATGAAACATGTTGCTTTTGTCTGGAAGACCTTCTAACGTTCAACCTTGAAGGATCTTGATTTTCATCATTATTTCTAGTGTTGAACCTCTCTTTTGAATCTGGTTCTGGTTGTCTCACTCTCTTACTTCCAACATTCTTTGAGGCCTGAGACTCCTTTGGTTTGGACACGGGAACATAGCCATCCTTACTCTTTTCATCTTTATTATCCTTACCAACTCCAGTGGCACAGGTTTTCATAGATGGGGTAGACCGCACAAAAGTATCCTGACTTCCACCGCCAAGGGGTTTTCCATCTTTACTTGTTGAGCCTGGATTTGGTGGGACCTGCGTAGGAACCGCTTTTGAGGCACCAGATGGTACATATGATGAGGTAGTCTGTGGAATCATACCAAAAGCTATAAAGCTTTTCTTACAATTTTGACAGACTAAGGCTCTATTCTTAACATATATGTAGAACTGGAACCTGGTATTACAGTGATTGCAAGCTGTCCAGAATGTCTGAAGCTTCAGATTGGGTTCACATGGGACATTTGAAGAAACATTTTTCCGATGTTTTGTAGCATTTGGAACTTGATTTGCAGCAAACACATTCCCATTTGAGTGATGAGATGAGGTATTAGGTACTGCAGCTTTCAAATTGGCTTTGACTTTCATTTCTTGTAAATGGGCTCTAACTTTCATATCATGTAAAATTCGCTTTGATTGATCATTCAACACCCCATTGGCTTCCCCAATCAACTTGAAAGCAGCTTCTGCACCAGCAAATTTATTTTTATCGGGATGAAGTAGCAGTGCAAGCTTTCTGTACTGTTTTCTTATGACTGCTTCATCGGAGAGTTTCTCTGTCTGAAGAATTCCATACCAGTCCATTTCGGCCCTCGAGAGTTTGTTCAGTGCAGCACTGTGAACCTCACAAACTGCAAGGATCTGAGCAATGTTTTCAACATCCGGGTACAGTTTTTTGGCCTTGATAGCAAACTTCAGCGCCTCCACATACTCACCCTTTTGCATTCTACTCTCTGCAACTTGCTTAGCCCTCACAGCTTCATCCTTGTTACACTCCATTATGAATTGATGTCAAAGATACAATCAATTCAGTTTCCTCAATATCACACAAAAATTACACCTCCTTATATTTGTGTGTATTCGCATTCCACAAGCAGTTAGCACTTTGTGTTCCACCTAATTGACACAACCAAGCAAAATAAAATTAAGCAAGATCATCATCACTCTATCCATTTGTTATAGATTAAAATAAAAAAATATTTTGCTATTGTGTTTGTTTAAAATTACAAAAAAAAAAGTATTTCTACATCTAAACAGCTTTTGATTTTTAGCATAAAAATGATTTTTTTAACAAAATGATTTCTGAAAGAAACTTAAACTAACATAGTTAAACCATCAGAATTATACTCAATGATGCAGACATGCAATCTATCACAAAAGATAACACCATAAACACTGCATTAAAGAGACCATTCAATCACATCACGCCAGAGAAAATGCTGCAGCATAACAACCAATGCATGTCAAAACTAGCACATGAGCTTAAATCGGATTAATTTATCTACAAACTCTAAAAATAATCCAGAATTACAAAGGGAGCAACTCAGTTTTCATTCTGTAGTCAGCAAAATACAAGGGAATTGAAACAAATGAATACAAAAATGGTACCTTTTGCTATTTGACCTAACTTCCAAAGCTACCGATAAACAGCGTAATATTTGCCCTAATTGTTCTACCAATTAAATTCCAACCTTACTATTAAAAAAAAAGCATAATAATAATATTTAAAAATGGGGAAATTGACGATTGAAAAGCAAAGCAAGATCGAAACTTGATGTTGTGAAATCGAACGTAGAGAAGTAAAAGAAGAGATAAAAATGTAAATGCGAGAAGCGATTCAGAAAACAAGGAAGAAAATTGGCAGAATATATGGTAGAAGATGAAGACGGTAAAACTTACTTGCGGTTGCGAAGTGGAGAACCGAAATCGAAACCTAAGTCGCCGACGGTAGAGAGATAGCAGAAACAACAGAAACGCAAGAGAGAGAGAGAGAGAGAGAGAGAGAGAGAGAGAGAGAGAGAGAGAGAAAAGACAGAAGCGAAGTGGAGTTTAAAAGTCAGAATCGGAGGAGGGAACACGCAAAGCGGGAAATGAAATTTTTTGACAAAATTTCATAGTTTCATTACCTCTCTAGCTTTTCGAGTTAAGAACCCAATTCTTAATTTATTTTAGAGTGAAAAAGAAAACAACTTAATCGTGATGCATTCTCTTAAGATGTGAAATGGGCATATCCACCCCGTTTTGATATGTTCCGCAATAAGCTTGAAAACAAACGGGTCGGACATAATTGAAAAATCGGGTTTAAAAGTTATGTTTATTTGATAAAAAATAAGAGTGGGGCGGAGAAAATCTATGGATATTACATTTTTAAAGTTTAAAATAAAAAAATTTATATAAAATTTTATACGCATACAAATTTGGAAAATAAATATGAAACAGGACATATTAGAAGATAAAGACTTAAATCATTGACTCGCTCTGCACTAAAGTGCGAGCAAAACAAACATACTCAACAAATTCGACTAATTTTGTCACCTCTAATTCTATTAATATTAAGTTAGATTGAAAATTTTAAATTACTTATATGATATTACAAAATAATATATTCTCATAATGATAGTGTAAATATTTTTTACGCGATCGATTCATCTCCATTAAACCCATATCAACACCGATGTGATTTTTCTATAAAGTAATATTTTCAAGATTATTATTTCTATGAATAATAACTATATAGTATTTTGTCAAAAAAAATTATATTTTTAAAGAATATTTTATTTAATTTAAAATTATAAATTATAAAAATAAAAATAAAATAAATGTTAGTACTAGTGAAAAGTTATTTAGAGCAACTTTAACGTATGGTTGTTAAACCAAAATTTTGTATAGTTTACGTTAGTAATAAAGAATTTGCATTATAGTATAGCTGACATGGCATTTAGTGAACTAAAGTTTAGTTTTCATTATCTATATAGTTAACGTTAACTATTCAATGTGAAACATATTATAATATTATTTAATATTAATAAAATATTCCAATAGCATTAAATTAATGGTAACTTAAATACAAAATATAAAATATGGGGTCAAGTTTTGATTTGTTATAGACAACTATCATTAAAGTAAAAACTACTTAAATCAACTATAAATTTTTTAAATTCTACAAAACACTTTATGCCCCTTAGTTTATCCATTTAATTTATTTTCATTAAAGATACTCTTAGTAAAGAATATTGAATTCTCACATTCTAAGCATGAAAAAAAAAATATGAGAAGATGATGTATTACAATAGTGTTGAGAATAAAAAATATTTAAATATAATTTTTAAAAACTTAAATTAAATATGAAATTGTTGCATTTTAAGTGCTATACTTCGTAATAAGAAGTTATAGTTATTTTTATAAAAAAATTGGGTGAACCAACTTTTTAACAACTTAGACAATCTTTATTAAATAATAAAAATAAATTTTTATTTTATTAAAAATTAAGATAACTTAATCTTTTGTTTATCTACACTTTATTTAGTTGATGTAGAAAATTATAATAATTTAATATAAGAAAAAAATGAAAGTCAAAGATTGAAGTATTTTTAAAAAACAATATAAATACTTTTAAGAGAAATCAAATATGATTAAAAGAATATAAAATAAATTGAAATTGAAATTTCATTATGATCAATTGAAATTATAAATAAAATAGTAATAAAGAAAATAAAAATAAAAACTTAATAAAATAAATTTTAAATTTAATAAATAAAATGTTATTTTGTAACAATTAAAAAAATAAAGTTTATTTTTTAAATACATTGAATAATCAATGAATTTAGTTTAATGATGGACCAAATATATTCATTATTCAATATATTTAACAAATAAAAATAATTCTTATAATAAAGATTAGAGGGAATATAAGTTATTGGTTTCATTTCGATTATTTGTTATATATATTTTTATTTTCTTTTTAATTTGAAAGAATTTGTTACCACAATCAAGGCTTGGGGTATTCTTGGTATCGATCGACCTGCGAATCTATTAATTCAAATCGAACAAATTTATAAATTATTTGAACCCGTTCATATACTCAACCTAACCTACAACAACATATATTTTTGTTTCGGATATCGAGTTTGAGTTGCACAACCCGATAGCTAAACTCATTCATGTGGCATTAGTAATTTTTTATTATTATTTTAAATAAAAATATAAAATTATAATCTGACTAATAATCATAATTTTTCAAAAAAAAAAGTTATTCTCCACCAATAATACTATTAGACCAATGAATTTACATAATTATAACTAAATATTGTTTCTTTTTTTTTTATCATTTACAACTCATGTATCTTGTGGAAATAATGTATTTTGTGGAATTCTATATTATTATCAAGTGTTATGTCTTATCGATGAATTTTATTAGATATTATATGATGTGTTTCATTTAATTTAAGTGTTAGAAATAAGTATAATTGTGTTAAATTGTATTACAATGTTTATAAACTAAAAAATAATCATTAAAAAAGTAAAAAAAATTATTTAAAACACAACCCGCAAACTCGATCCAATTTATGAATGAACAAATTAGTTTTGATTGGTTTTGACAATGAAATTGTGGGTTGGACGACGAATCCAATCCATTAAAACCTGCTCGAACTTTAATGGGTTGGATCTGTCGTACAACTTGTAATTTCATTGTCAAAACCTATTTGAACTGGGTCATTTATTCATGGATTGGATTCGCGTGTTGTGTTTCAAATATAAAAAAACTAATGATTTTTTTCAATTTAAAATTGGATGAAACACATCACATAATATCTAATAAAATTCATCAACATAACAAATGATAATAGTACAAAATTTCACAAGACACGTTATTTCCATAAAATACATAAGTTAAAAATACTATAAAAGAAAATAATAAACAACATTTAGTCTTAAAATCATATAAACTTGTTGTTGCACCCTAAAATTTGACCAACCGATTCTCATATGGTTTATGGTTCGACGCATTTTTGCATTCGCATTCGCATACCGCATACAGTGCATTTTTCCATTCATGGTGATTTTATTGGGATTACAGCCCTGTTTTCACATTTCGGGTATTTCAGACCGGTTCGGATAATCGGAGGTTATTTTGAGAAGTCACGCGCTTCCTGGGTGTTTTCAGCTTACGCAGTGATTTTGGTGGTTCTTGGTGTCTGGGTTTACTGCTTGCTTCGATCTGGTCTCGCGCTCTCTTTTATTTTGGTTGATTGCCTTTGTTTGCATTTTTAGGATTTAATAGCCTTTTATAGATTTTAAATAGGTTTTATAGTTTTTTTTAGAATATAAATAGATGATTCCTAGAATTTTTTTGAGATAATAGATTTTTATGGATTTTTTCTAGATATTAGATAGATTTTTAATAGATATTAAATGATTTTTAAATAGTTTTAGTTTAATTTCTTTTAGAATGATTCTTTCTTCTTTTAGATATTAAGTAGATTTTTAAAAATGATTTCTAATAGGATTTTCCCTTACTAGGATTTATTTTATAGAATTAATAGAGTTTTTCTATTTTTGCTTGTATAGAAATTAATAGAATTAATAGATTTAATAGTTTTTAGAAGTTATTAGAGTTAATCATTTAGATTTAGGATGTAATTAGATTAATTAGATCTTAATCCCTTCTTTAGTAGCTTTAATTAGGGTCAGAGTATTCTTAATTGCAATTTAGGTTTTAATGGCAGTTTTAGGATTAGTTTAGTATTAATTGATTTGTTTAAATGGGGTTTAATTAGTTTAATCATTAATTAGTCAGAGTCCAAATTCGTGGGCCATGTGTCCCATTTTTGGAGGCCCAGTCCAGTTCCGGCCACATGTCCATGTATAAAAGCCCCACGCGTGTGCTTTTCAGATTTTCATTTTTCTCCATTCGCCACGTTTCGTCTCAGAACTTTTTCACGCGTGCTCTCCATTTTTCCACCACCTCACTTCTCCATTCCACGTTTCACACTCACACG